TGCATTCAGTATTATTGCATTTGAGACTGTAACCATCCCATGCTGATGGGCAGCCTCTGGGAGTTTTAGCTCCATTCCCAGTGCACAACCTCATGCTCCTGAGAACTTTCTTTTACTTCCCGCCAGTGTTATCGCATTTCTCTTATCGGTATAAACACCGGCCCTGGAGGGACCTGGACCATGACAGTGAAATTCTCTCCCCTGGACTGGTCAGATAAGCAGAAGCACCACTTCTCAAAGCCCTCCCGGGGGAGGCACGTCTTGCGAGGAAGGGGTCTCCCATCCTCCTGCCTCGGGGACCCGCCGAGCGGCGTCCTGGAGGAACCGGCACTAAATGGTGCGTACTGGTCCTGATCGGCCCGTTTGCTAACACTGTCCCCGCAGCAGAGCCCATCAGAAGAGGACAAATTGCCTTGCCCCAGCCAGCCCTGCTGTTCAACAAGACAGACGTTGTGTGACCTCAGAGAAAACAATACATAAACCACAGATCTTGGGGCACGAGAGGTCTGTGAGACGGAGGCAGGAGCTCTCGCGTCCCTGGAGGAGCTCAGGCTGGCTCCATCCTCAGTAAGACCTATTTCAAAACAAGTATTTCTTCCAGGATGTCACATGGAAAGAGACTGTCAGAAAGCTGTCTAAATGTGTTAACAACACTGTCAGCGGGGGAGAGAAAAGTGTTATCAGAAATAGTTGTTCTTCAAAGCTAAGTAACTCAGTGATTTTATAAGGAGTAAAAGATAAGAGATCACACCACACACTGAGGGCTGTTGGAATTTTCTTTCTGAGAATGAAGCTGTTTGTTTTGTTAAAAAGGGGAAGAGGGGAGAAAGTGAAAACCTAAAATACTCTGACTTTCTTGACTTAGCTTTCGACAAAGCTAAAAATAACTCCGACTGCATTCAGCCTGCGCAGCCACAGCTCAGGATAAGACAAAGCACTGGAAAAGGATTCCCATCCCATTGACCAGGCTGCTTTCTGGCTCCCTCCTGGGGCCATTCCAGAGGTCTTCCAGCATCATCCTCTGGAGATGGGAGCAGTGCAGCGTCTCTGCTTGATGCAGACAGACTTGGGCCTGTTTTGATTGACAGCAGTGGGATTTCGGGGATTTCGTGGGATCCGGATTTTACCCTGAACAGAGCGGCTAATTTTCTGCTACTCAGTTCGAGTGAGATCCTCTGTGTTTTGCAGCTAAACCTCCCTTCACGGGCAGTGCCAGCCTCCTTCCCGTGGCCTGGCCCTACTATTGCTCTGCTGGCCTAGATCTAAAATAAGAGTTTCAGGCGCTTGCTTTGGATTCTCATTTTGAATGTTTAAACCTCCCCACCTCAGCAGCAACGTCAGTGGTCGTCAAATAAAATAATATAAAATAATAAGATGGGAAGTTGATTCTAATTACTGTGTTTTCTCATTTGCTGATTGACATTCTCTGGAGAGCAATTAGCCTGCTTTAAAGGTAAAAGACAACTGAATAATTATTTAACCTGCATGGTGATTGAAATTTAAAATCTAAGAAGTCAGATGTAATAACGGATGACTCCATCAAAAACTATGTAAAAGTGATAACAGTTGATAGCGTTTGATCCCGTCCTGCCTGAGAAGGTACCGACAGTTTGTGCTGAGGCATCTCCTACCCGGCTGACTGCCAGACCCGGATCCCATTGCCGTGCAAACATGGCATAAAAAGGTTTTCGGGGAGAAAGAGAGAAGCAAACAAACGCAACCTGAAGTTGTTAAACCTCAGCGTGTGTTGAACAACACGTGGCGTTGCAGTAGGGAGTCTGTGGGCTGTATTGACTGGGCAAGGAAACGGCGCAGTCCCAGCCTGGATAAATTTGGCAGCGAATACTCCCGTGAACATCAGGCGGACGTCGCAAATCGTGACAGGCCTCAGCACGGCCGTCTTTTATCTGTCTGCAAAGCTACGGGAGGTAAAGAAAGAAGGAAGGGGAAGCTGGGACCTGGACAGACAGAAGCAATACTGGGAAAGGGTCATTAGTACCAGGTCAGGTGAGCAGCATCAATTAATCTCCAAGACATTTGAAATATCGTAAAAAATAGGGTGGAAGCAGAAATGGTTTAGAGACAGACAGCAACACTAGAGGACCTTTAGTTTTACTATCTCAGATGAAACTCGTTTATAGGTCATATATAAAAGTGGCAACTGTTTTGTTGTTGACTTTTTATAGCCATTGACTTTCTATATTTTTATAAGAGTAAAGTCACAGCGAGGTTCCTGCCGTAAGACCCACATGCGATCACTCTCTCTGGGGAGCACAGGCAGAGCTGACCAAGTTTGTTTGTCCAAACACTTTGCAGCAGATTGCCCAGCTTTGTATTGCTTCATCTGTCCCGTTGAGGGTTGCGGGGACGCATGGGGTCCCCCCCAGCCCGGTGATCAGCCAGCTGATGTCACATCCCTCATTCTCTCAGTATCATAAGCTGATATTCTCCATTTTGCTCAAATGAAAAAGCTGCAACAATTATTTTCATAATTAGCTGGCTTTTCAAATTAATGCCAGTTATGCTATGTAATCATGATGAAGATTATGCATTAATCAGCTGTTTCAAGCCGGTTATTAGGCTCTTTAAATAATGATCGGGATGAACATCTCTGAAGGAGAGGCACGCAAGCCAAGAGGGACGGCAGCGCGCGATCTCCGGGAGCGGGGAGGCGCTGCCGGAGGGCCGGGGCTGCGCTCAGCGCGCCCGGCTGCGGCGCAGATCTGCCGTCAGACGCTCTCCGTCCCCCGGGTTTCTGAGGAGAGAGCAGGCTGTTGCATGTGGTGGCTGCTCTTCAACACCTTAGCAACCGCAGGAGATTTCACATTGTCCCAATGTATTCAGCATCCAGCAGTATAACCAGAACTACATTACTTCTGCCTGTCTGCTTTCTCATTGCCTGGCACTAAATTCAAGGTTTTGAGCGGCTGCACAGAAAATGCTTTTCTGTCAAAAAGCCTATTATATCCAGTTGGATGTCTGGAACGTGAATTTATTTGAGATCAAACACCAATAATCCACATACCCAGTCCTTCTATCATAATAAGACATGCTCCAAAGCAACCCTGAAAGCTCTGGGCTAGGAGGAAGCCTAATGTCAGCTAGTTGATAATCCATGTAACATGAACCCAGTTATTGCTTCAGGGTGATGCTAGAAAACAAAAAATCCTTTGCTAAAATGTTCTGGACAGTAAAGCCTTGAACAGAAAGACAGGGATGAATCTCATGCTCACTTTAGTTTTGTTTATTGTTTGTGCTGTAGTATTGTGCATGAACTTTCTCCGCCCTAAGAAACTTAGATTGAGCTACCAGCACGTGCAAACTTTGATATGGATGAATAATTTTCCTTGCACCGGTCAATAACCAAATGTTTTGGCATAATCCTGTGAGAAGGAGGCACTTGCACAATATTGCTAGGCTCCTGCCTACACTGCTAGGCATTCTAGATTGAAAACCTCCTCATAACTGACTTGCTTGAAGATCGCATGGGACTGAAATGGGTCTCCAGAATGAAAATTCAGCTTCTTTTTCTTTATTCTTCCCCCTATTTCCCAAGTTAGTACTGAGATCAGTAATATTTTTTTCTACCAGAGACACGCAGTGAATGGCTCAAACATTTTTGGATGTTTACGCATGTAAATTAATTACCACACTCACTTCACAACTGGGGACCCAGATGCACGAACCCTGCAGGAGGAGGGAAGTGACTTGCCAGGACCGTGGGGAGCAGAAAAGTCAGAGGCCTTGTGCAGCTTCCCTTGCACCCTTGCTGTGAGGGTCTCCAAGCATCGCTCAGGTTCGCTCAGCCCCTGCCTTTGGCAGGTCCTGGGGAGGACGCCCAGAGCATGGCTGTCAACAGAAACGTCAGCTTGGCTCTTGCCAAAGTGGCACTCTTGGCTTACACCAAATTGCCACAAAAATTATAGATAATGTGTTCTGGCTCCTGGAGGAGGATTCATGCAGTTGCTTGAAAACTAGGAGGGCTGAGTAGACATCTGTTGTCTATAACAAAACATTTTAGGTCTACCTTAAATGGAACAGGAAGATTTTCCTTCTGCTAATGAACCCAGAGACCATCTGTTACCAATTGCACTTGCTTATCTCATTCACCCATTAATTATTTTGGTTTACTTTTTAATAAGATAGAGCAGGGTTTATGTGTCTTTCCGCGGTTCTGTAAGGGGCGCAGGACAGTGCCTACAGCTCAGAGACAAGGACACGCAATTTCGTAATTTACGCCTGCGCTGAGTCACTTCAATTAGAGTGGCTGTCAGTGGGGAACTGAGGACAAGACTCACAGATACAGAGCCAGGAAGCCCAGCGATACTGCGACATGAGCTTGCTGCCCTTGGGGAGGTGTAATGGCATTAACAACTTCTGAACACGGGAAAGCATGCATTCCAGATGTGCATTATTGAGCAGATAAGCTGTAGGGTAGGCAAATTCAGACGTCTCTGCTGGTCTGAACTAAGAACTTGGATAACTAAACGTGAGGAACAATAAAAGATGAGAAGGGCACTAAAAATAGCAAGCAGCAGTGCCGCACTGCCTGCCTCCTGCGTGAGGACTTGGAGATGGGTGGACAAGGCAGGGAGGGGTCCAGCGCGGCGCGGGGCGGAGGGCTTCGTGCCGCAGTAACTCCTCAGAGCACAAACCTGGAGCACCTCTGCGGCTGAGCAATAAGCCTGTCCGCACTTCCCGAGGTCTGGTCCTAAAGTTTTATGGGAAGCCACTCATCTGTCTCATAAAAATATTCAAAGGCTTTAAATTTGTTCCCTGTTGCCCTGCAAAGCTGGCATTCTGAACACTTTCATGCACCAGCATGTAACAAAAACCCAAATGTTTTCATGTCTTTATTCCACTCCAGGAAATGTCCTGGGAGCAAGCCTTGTTCAGCCCGCAAACGTCACAGCTCTGTCCAAGAGATTTCTCGTCCTTGCTACATAAGGTTATGAATCAAACCTTATGTGGCTTAATGCTGGTTTTGTCTTGTCTTGCAGGAGGAATCTTCGAGTATGCAGATGGCCCCAATACCCAGGTGATGAGTGCTGAGGAGCAAGCCTTTAGATTTTCCGCCAATATTATTAATAGAAACAGAACTTTGTTGCCTAACACAACACTAACCTACGACATTCAGAGGATACACTTCCACGACAGCTTTGAAGCAACTAAGAAAGGTAAGAGCACAGCACACTTAGCAGCTTTGTGGGCATTTATTCATTAAGAAACAGGCATGGTTTGGCTTGAGACCCAGCAGCTCTTTTTGTCCTGCTCTCCTCAGTCATTGAGATTAGGCGGCCTCCAGGAGCTGACCTTCCAGAGGCATTTTAATGTAAGGGGAACAACTATTCTTTTTTCCCTCTGCAAACCTCACAAAACTCCTTTCAGTGTTTGCTTCTAATCCTGAGTGAAGGTCTGTAGGCCATGCCTTTGTTTATTTGAGTGTATCCCTGGCAGTTTTAACATCCCTAGTGTAGAAATTCTGTTCTCTTCCTAACAGACAGTCATTTTTTATTATCAGTTAACAGCAGCCCACTTGAATTACTGAAGGGGAGGGAAGAAACGGGAGTGCACAGCAAAGGCTGTGGGGCTGATGACCTGAGGGCTTGTTGAGATTGCTTCTGGTTTGGGAGAAATGAAACCCGCGGCCTGAGCTCGCGGTTGTACGAGGGGCATCCCCGGAGAGAGGGGATATCTGCTCACGGGCGAGTTCACTGGCCCCGGCCGTCCCTTTTTAAGACTGTTTTGATGTGGAGGTTTCCTCGGAGCTCTGCCTGACACTGCTCTGCGCCGGGCTCCTGGGAGCACCCAGGTCGGCTGCACCGAGTGTTGGGACAGGAGCAGAACGCGCGGGACCCACACCAGGGGCGTGCGCACGTCTGGGGGGAGCCGGGTGCCTCAGCTGCTGCCCGCGTTCCTGCCCCTCTCGGGCTGGAAGCAGTGGCTTTCCCAAAATCTTTTAATGACGTGTAGCCATCACAGAGCTCCTGCTGATAGTGGTGTTAGCGTTCAGTTTGGAAGGAGCTGCAGAAGCAGTTGAGAAATAATCTGTTCCTCTGAAAAATTTATCCTTCCCCCTCCCCAAAATGCAGCCCCAAATGCAGTTGTTTTGTTTTAATTTCATAGTGAAAGCTTGAACAAAGCTATGAAAAGCATTATTTTGCAGGGAAAAAAAAAAAAAATGAAAAATGCATTTGTCAGGGCAATTCTGATCATCTCTGGGTATTTCTTCCACAAGTCTGGAGGCTCAGCCATTTCTAACACACTGCAGCCATTATTCCCTCCTCTGGAAACACCCCTGTGCCTCTAACCACTGGTCCAGACCCCCGCCTGCCATAATTCCCGCTCCGCCTCTCTTCACTGTCGTAATTCCCTACTGTCTGTGCTGCTGTTAGTGCCCCGAAGCTTCTCTGTCCGTCCACTGCTCCATGGCCCAGGTCAGAAGGAGGTTTGTGCCCCGGCGGCCGCCCTGCCAGGCGGGGCGAGGAGGCTGCCCCGACGCTCACCCTCCCGCGGAGCTGCCCCGTGCTTTTCTGACACCGTCCTGCCCTTCCCTTCCTTTTCCAGCCTGTGACCAGCTCGCTCTGGGGGTCGTAGCAATATTCGGACCTTCCCAAGGCTCCTGTACCAATGCCGTCCAGTCTATTTGCAATGCCCTGGAAGTCCCCCACATACAACTTCGATGGAAGCATCACCCTTTGGATAACAAGGACACTTTCTATGTCAACCTGTATCCCGACTATGCTTCTCTTAGCCATGCCATTCTGGACCTTGTGCAGTATTTGAAATGGAGGTCAGCCACTGTGGTTTACGATGACAGTACAGGTAGGTAAAGGAGGGGCTTGAAAGCAGGAATCCAGGAGGTTTTTTGTTGTGGATCCCATTTAGGAACTTTTCTAATGAACCCTTTTAGGAGCGAAACGACACCCAGTGCAGGGGACGCACCGGTTCCCAAGCACTCAGGCGAGCGATGTAGACGGCCCCGGGATCCTTTCTGAAGCATTTCATTCACAAAGCGCTTAGGAAGCGGGGAACCCTCAGCACCACCCCAGCTGACAGCGGGTCCAGGGGAGGATTAATAGTCCGCTGGTGTGATCTGGCTCAGCTCGGCTGTGTTTGGCACCGCGGTGCCCATCTACACAAGCAAAGACCTTGGTCTGTGGCTGCCATTGAGGGTGCAGTTTCCCAGCTAAAGGCAAAAGCAGTTCTGGAAAGTTGTTTTGTTTTCTGGCTAATTCTATAAAGCATAGCTGACAAAGTTTTTCACATAAAGAAAGCTGTTGACAGTTAAACAAAGCAAAGCACTGCATAGCACTATAGATTAAAAAACCCCCCAAAACAAAAGACACATTGGATAGCCTGTCCAACCTAATTCCACTAAACCAAATGGTTTCTTTAGGGGAGGGCTGATGAGAACACAGTTTGACATTCCTGTTTTGCAAATGTGGGTCACAGTATGTTCCCTTCGTGGCGTATTCTAATGTATTTCTTCCACTATGCAGAGGGACGCGCTTCTCTTTTCCTCCTTGCAATAGGCATCTGCTGAATTTCTTCTTGCAACATTAGATACCAATAATTCCTGCTCAGCTGCATCCAGCATAGCTTTGTACCTTCCGCATAAAAAAGAAATTAATTCTAAGGGTCGTAAGAAAGTTACAAGTTGTGATTAAGTGACCATTATGAAGTACGCTATTCATAAATCTAAGCTTTTTTTCTTTTGCTGTTGTGCATGGTGAATACTGCAGATTTTAATTTGTTGTAGAGCTGATTATCACATTCTGTCCTTTCTCAAGGGCATATCTGCTTAAGAAAAACTGTCGTGATCCCAGAGATGTCAAAGTTTAGGACCAATCTGCTATTCTCCTCTTCCTACCTAGTGCAGGGACCCCAGCTCTACCGTAGCTGGATGCAGGGGCAGCAGGAAAACACCAGGAAAAGTGATTCTGCCTTAGAACAACTGCTCTGGAAATACCTGGGGGTTTAATGATTGGCACATGACACCTTGGCTTTGATATGACTTTAGCAATGGCCATTTGAGGGAGGGAGGAAAGTCTTGATTGCATTCCATAAAATAATATAGGAAGAAATAACTTGCTGTGATACCCAGCCTGCAGGGCAAAGGCAGACTTTCCTGTAACACTGTGGGTTTGTCTTTGTGCAATGCCTGAAGGCCTTATACGGCTGCAAGAGCTCATCATGGCCCCGTCAAGGTACAATATCCGGCTGAAAATCCGCCAGCTCCCGCTGGACACCGACGATGCCCGGCCGCTGCTGAAGGAGATGAAGCGGGGCAGGGAATTCCGCATCATCTTCGACTGCAGCCACCTGATGGCGGCTCAGATCCTCAAGCAGGTGAGCGGGGAGCGATGGGGGGCGAAGCAAAAGTGGCCACCAAGGGACCCATGCATACGGGGTGGCCGTACTGCAGGGAGAGCCCCGCGGATAGGCGTGCAGACCTGCAGCTTTCCCTCTGTCCACAATCCACAGCTACACTAAAAGATACAACATGTACATTTTTCAAGAATACTATTGGATTTCCACTGAAAATGTAGTTTTCACTGAAAAAACTGGAAGTATCAAAAAGCGACTGTCGGTAATAATGAACAAATGGTACGGGAAGAGAAAATGCCAAGCGTCTGCAGCGAGTGCAGCGCTGAGACCAGGCTGTTGTCCCGCTCCTGTCTGCGGCTGCGCAGCCCCGGCCCTCTGCCCTCCGCCCGCCGCCGTCTGGAGCAGCGTTCGCTTCTCTCTCAGCCAGGGCAGCAGGCAGGACTGTGCTCTGGGCCACTTCTGTCACTGCTCATTTAGCCCTGGACGAGCTTTTCATGCTTGCCGATTTTAAATATCTTCTTTCCCTTCTGTACTGCTTCATGCCCCCAGGTTTGTGAATACATCCCATACAGGGCCGGGTCCAAAACGCTTCGTTTTGGTTAGCTATTTTCACGTTGCGCACGCAGTCCTGCGCCTCACTGCAAGCAGCCAGGACGGGACCAGCCGGGGAGGGACGGCGTCCTCTGTCCCTTCATGAGCACTGTGTGCAGTTCTTGGACTTCAAGCCAGATGTCAGTGATTTTCCATTCATTTGGTCTCTCTCCTTTCTCTTTGAGTTCCTCCACTGGTGTTTTTCACAGACCAGAAGGTTTGCTGCTCACCCCAGCTCCTCCCCATTTCCAAGTACCTTTAGGTTTCAGGGTCAATATGAGGCAGAGGAAAATGCTCTTACAAAGAATGCTAAAAACCAGCTGGTGGAAGTGTTGCTCATATCAGCCCAGCAAGACGCTACCACATAGATTAAATAAATCCCCTGAAGGGCTGAGAAAGCAAGCACATGGAAAGAGACGTCTTTTGCAGCCCGCTTGATGCAAAATGAAGGGAAGTGCTCAGAGAAATCAGAAAGCCTGGGAGGGATTATTAAAGAAAACAATATAAGGGACTCATTGTCTCCGGCCTATTATTTTAACATGCTGGCTGTGTTTGGTGCTGTTCTCTTATTATGCAGTTTATTATAGCGTGTTGTGCCATCTGCTCTGCTCAGCACTGTGAGTGCAGAGTGAGGAAGATGGAGGAGAGGGGGGACTAGGGAGAAAGAAGTCTTTCTAAGTCCTTCTGGCTGGTTTTGTGTGTGTGTTGGTTTTTTCAGGACCCAAAGCCATGGATTTCAGCTTAGCAATATTCTATACTGTATTTTTACTCAGGAAAAAAATGTTAAATATTTTCAGAGTTTGGGAAGGTGCACAAACCCAAACCTCTCTGAAGGCTTGTACGCTCGGGTGCGTAACACCGGGGAGGCTCTGAGCGGTGCACACCGCGACCCTTGTGTCTCTCTCACTGTTGGCACTCATATTTGCTGAAGAATTCGGAAGCTCAGAAAGCTCATCTTTTCCTAACTTTTCTACCCGTATCAGGAAACGCACGTCTAGAGGTGCCACCTTCACTTGTGAAACAGCCTTTTTCTTTTCCATAGGATGGGACAGAAAAACAGGCTTCCCAATCCCTACTCCACACTGCCCTCCTCACGCTCTGCTTTGCACGTTTACGGGACATACGAGCTGGGTACAGCCAAAACCTTCTCCTGGAAGAGGGGAGCCTGCTTTGTGTTAGAAGAACAACACACAGAAAAAAACCTGGACTGCAAAAAAGCCAGGGAAGCATGGCCCAGCCTTCTCTTTGTCCCGGAAGCAATAACGTTCATACAGTATTGCTGCTATTTGGCTTTCGTAACATTTTGGTAACTACACCAGTTAGCTTTGCAGACGTTTGGCCTCTGGCGTTTGCTCCGACCAGGCAAGGTCCCTGGAGCCCCTCGGCTGCGCTGCCCACCCCAGGGCAGCACCGAGGGATGCAGAAAAGGTTCTCTCAAGACTCGTGCTGAAATTGCCACCGCTGGGTACTGATTTTAACTGCGCATCTTTAGGTAACATAAAGTGGTTTGAGCTGCTAGCGCCTACGTTCGCTAAAGTAGCTCTGACTAAGCACACAGCACCAAGCCAGCCCAGATCTTGCTCCCAGGTTATTGAAGGTAACACGCTCCCACAGCACACGAGTAGCGAGACACTTCACTTATAATCTGGGCAGTATTTTTGAATTGGATTAGTAAAAAACCGCCATGGATTAGTAATCCATGAATAATAACACAAGAGCTGGCACAAAGACGCACAGATGACATTGCCACATACTGCTCCAGTCTGGGTTCCTTGGAGCGACTGAGATATTAAACCGTTCATTATTTTACCCTCTTGGACAAACAAATCATTGTAGAAACCTATGACAGAGCTAGGCCTGCTCGTGAGGCCTTCCCATCCCTCCCCAGCTTCTCTGCCCTTGCTCATTTTTGGTCGCTTGTTCACGCTTTGCATCTGTTCTCTGGCTTCCCAGCTTCTCTCTTCTCCTTGGCAGCTGTCTCTGAACAGTTGCTGCACTCTGCAGCGCACAGATGTGCCTGTCTTTACTCCAATGGAGCTCCCATTCTCATCCTGGTGATTGCCTGTAGCTTATCCACCAGGTTTATCATTTATTCGTTTCCCCACAAACCCAGATGTATCCTGCACACAGGCTGCAAGTACTGGAAAGCTGGGGCTTGCTTCTTACAGCAGGTCTGGACTCTTCATCTACCACTGATCCAGCTGTAGAATCTGAACTGGGATCTTATGATTTACTCTCGATTGGTTTCACATCATCTGAGAGATGCTTCACATACTGAGGTGGTGTTCCCTGCTCCAGCTCTTTGCACCTGGGTGTGCAGGTCAGCAGAGAGCTGCGACGCAGCCCCGCAGCCCAGGCAGGGAGGAGGGGGACGGGACGGCACGCTGCTGCACAGAGACAGCTGCCAGGCTTGCTGAAAGGTACTTCCAGGCCAGAAAGCAGGGGACAAAGTCACACTCTAGCGTTACAATATCCAGGCTTGTAATCTAGACCCTTTCCTTTTCCCTTGCTTTTTGACATCTCACTTCTTTCAAACTGCCACTTCCTTCCTCGGAGCTAAATTCTGCCCTCTTAATTTTAGCAAAAACCAAAGCAGCAAACATTTCCTGGGGGGACTTGAAGTCACTTTCCCATCGGTGGGTATTTTAAAGGGCTCTTGCATGTGTTTTCTCCAGAAAACACGCTCACAGAGTCAGCATCACAGTCAAAACCATGGGTATCTCTTTCTTTTAGCCAGCCACCAACTTCAAGGTGACCGCTCTCATAGACAGAAACACAGCCCCCTTGTGTGGTGCAGGGCCTGGGCAAGGTCATCCAGCCGAGGTCCCTTCGGCCCGCAGTCATTCTCTGACAAACCTCACGGAACAGCATGTTCTCTCCGCTGCTCAGCTATGCAAATCCCAGCAATCTGCACGAACCATCCTTCGTGTCGGGGCTGGCCAACCTACAGCCTGGGCTGGCCAAGAGCCCTCGGGTCCAGACCACGATCTCCAAGGGCTGAGGGACGGGAGATGCTCCTGCTCCCCATCCCTGTGCCTGTACTTTCACTGACCCATTTATAAACCAGGCACTACGTTAGAATCTGGCTGCTGTATGCAGGAAGGAGGGACCCGCAGACAAGAGCTACCGGTACACGTTATACGAACGGGCACTGAAGGGGAGGGGATGCAGAGCACCATAAATACACATGTAAGAAATAAAAAGCCTTTTACTTAGCTTCTTAGCCAATACATGGACTTGTAACCAAAAGAACAGGCTGCTTTATGGTCATTCTGCACAGGTTTATATAAGGTTGCTGGTTGTTTGGTATCTGAGAAGGAAAGGCAACCCCCTTTCTCCCAGTTGTGCCATTAGAAGCAAGCCTGCATCCCTGGCAGATTTTGCACCGTGCGTGACCCGTGAGCACGGCGGTGTGCCATAGCTGGTGTCCCGGCTTTCTGTGGCACAGCAACACCCAGAAATGCCACCAGCCTCCGCAGGAGCTGGACACCGAGGCTTTGCTGCCGTTTCAGAAAGGTTTGAGGACGACAGTTCAGCTCAGCACTTAAGCACATGCCTCTTGCTGGCTAAGCACATGCTTAACTGCTTCACAGGATTGATCCAGAATCCAGCCTCTGTGTTTCTGGGTCTGCCTCCTGCTGCATTTACCAGATCAGCTCTTTAGAGGTTTATGTTGCATGACTGTTGTTATATTCTTGTATCCACTCTTACGAACCTCCTTTCCCTACTCTCCTCAAGGCCATGGCAATGGGAATGATGACAGAATACTACCACTTCATCTTCACCACTCTGGTAAAGTATCTAATCTGTGCAAACACCTTTTACACTCACTGCTGAGCTGGAATGGAAAGTGAGGAGCTAGTCTCAGCAGCAGGAGAGCGGGCTGGGTGTCCTGTCCTGGGCGGGCATCGCCCAGCTGCACAGCACTAAAACGGTGGGGTGGGAAAAGCAAGGGAAAAGGATGTCTGGTACCCTAACAGATGGTGAGAGCAGGGCTAGACTTAGCTTCAGGTTAGAATCAGACCACAATGATTTGGTTGTAACATCTCTGCAACCGCAGCACTGCCCAGGTGCCCATTCTGAGAGACGTCGGTCTTTTATTTCACTGCTTTTGGACTGGCTCATCCTTTGGAGCTGCTCTGGCTTTGCACAGATGTAGGTTCTGGTTTTATTTCCCCTCCCAGTCATTTTTATTTCAGTGTAGCTACCCACACACTGGAAGATGAGCATATGTGTGAATTTGCAAGGTTGTAGTCCCGCAGACAGGATTTGATGGGACCGAGCTGCAGCAAGAACCGGGTATGTGTGTCTGTGTGTTCCCCTAGGTCTCCCTTAAAGCCAGGAGCAGCCCTGCTGTGGTCAATAGTTCAGTACTGCAGGTTTATTTTGCATGAGAAGAACTCAGCTTGAAATTAACTCCACTCTCATTAAACATGGGCCAGTTCTTCTCTGACTCCAGGAGGCATTTTGGTTTGGGTTTTTTGGCGTGCCACTTTTGTTTGCATTTAGGATGCTATTGTCTAGTATACTGATGAATTTTGTGTGGTTTTCAAAATCCAGTTTATCTTTTTGCCTTTAGGAAAGAATCAGACTAAACTAACCCTTAAAAACTGCAAAATTTATTTTTCAAATGCAAAAGACATTTTAATTACCCCTGCTGCCATTATCTATTCCAGGCAGCTTTAAGCATTTCCCAGATAACCTCCTATTAATCAGCCCCAGCTGAGCCTAGAGTACATTTCATGTGTAGGTACAGCCTGGAGGTGGGAAAAGAAGAATTATAATAAATTAATAGATAAGCAATCACAATTAATGCCACTTTCCTGAAATAACAGTTATATCATGGGAAAGATATTTTAATCTGTCATTCCTTAAGGCAATGTTTTCCTAGCTTGCAATGCATGTGCTTCAGCTTCTACAGTACGAGACCCATGGGGTGCTAATGAATTAGTCTATTATGTTATACTGAATGTTTCTAAAAGGTCCCTAGTCAATACTGAGTACAGCGTATCAACACTTGGCATGAAATGCTTCCACATTTTGCTAGGCAGCAAGACTACAGTTCAGTGACTTCAGCATGAAGAGCCCCATCAGCCTTTTCTACCAGAGGAGGAGGAGGAGGAGGAACTCTTCCGAGCCTTTGTCTAATGTGTGCACAGCTTTTACCACCCTGCAAAGTCCCAAGCAGCGACAACCCCCTTAAACTCAGCACTTCAAGGAATTTCTCAGCAGCTTGTAAAAATGAGTCCTTGCAAATGCAGAAGTTTCCCCACCGCCTGCTGTCACTGCTGCTGCTTACAGCAGTTACGGACAGGCAGAAGCAGGAATCCCTTCCCGTGCTTTGAGTCGAGATAAACAAAAATTGCACGTGCAGCTTGCCTCCTCCCGATTCGGCACTAAACCAAACCAGTCCAGTTTTCCCCTGGCGTTGATAATCAGGTACTCTTGTTAAACCCAGCATACCTGAGGCTTATGACACAATGCGAGTGTGTTCGTGACCGAGTACCTCAGAGGTTATTATTCTAACGGCGCTGTACACGTATGCCTCCCATTACGGCCACGGCCACTCCTCCCAGCGACAGCTGCCCGAGCAAGTCCGTGCCCAGACAGGGATCCTCGGCAATCTGTAGCAGGCACGTTATCCACGAGCTGTTTTGCACAGCAGCAGACGGAGGATGCCCTTCCTGGACACTTGCTTTTGCAGCTTCCTCCTGCGGATGCTAGATGTGGTGAGGATCAGAGCTCAGCATGGCCGCCTACGACTGACGAACCAAAGCTGGGGATTTTAACTGGGGAGGTGGGAGAGCATGTGTAAGAAAGGGGAAGAGCCCCACAGGAACACCGAGAATAAAACTTTCTTAAAGGTAGTAGGATGGAGGGGAGAATTAATCTGCAGTACAGAAAATAATGAGTGAAAGGGAACGTAGATGAGGTGGAAAATAGAACCAGATGTTTCAATTTGTGGCTGTGCGAGAGCAGAAAATCCAGAAGAAACCGATATGGCAATTCCCCCCCACACCGCTCCATGTTCTGACACTCAGCTTCTATTCTTAATTACCCTCTGATTCCAGGAGATGATAAATCAGGTTGCAGCTGAGATTTAAACTGGAACCAAAAAGGGACCTGATGGGAGGTTGGCTTCTATAGGAACTTGGTGAAATGAAGGGTCAGTGGAGAGCAGCAGGACAGGGAGGGCACCCAAAATACCGGTAGGATCTGAAGGGTGGCCAGGGCCGGCAGTCTGACAGCCGTGCGATGGAGACCGTGAGATCTGGAGCCTGGTGGATCAGATCTGTCACGTACGGTCACATGCTGAATGGGAAATGATCTGCTTTCGCAATCAAAAATTATTTCCCCACAGCAATTTCCAGAATACAAACTGAATTATCTGATAAAAAGTTATGAATCCTGAAAAAAAAAAATTATTGCAGTGCATCAGGCACAAGATCGCTGCACACCCTCATATCCAGATGATATAAGCATCTGTCTGAGGTTCGACAACTGTATTTACCCTTAGTTACCATAAGTCATTTAAAAGTCAACACTATGGCCTGGTTTTCACAATGCCCTTTAACAAAACGTGGAGGTTTGTATTTGCAATTTTTCAGGAAAAAAAAAAAAAGCCAAATAACAAAGCCCCTGAACTCTGTTGTGGGTGTGATTAATGACTCGGTCCCTGGCTGCACCTGCAGATTAAAACATGGCATCCATCAGCAGGATGCCTTGGGGGTGCAAAGTCAGAGGCCAGTGCTTAAGGAAAAGATCAAACCCTCAAAGCTTATTAAAGCAAAACAGCTGTAAGAATTCCTTGCTCTCCCACTGAGAATGAAGTCTCGGTTGCTGGCAAGTGCTGATTTTGTTATGCTTCGCTTAGGGCAGTGCGTTTTAGGACCAGTGCTTTTCCAGCTCCCCCACGGGCAGAACAGAGCTCGCTGCTGACGGACGCTGTGTCTGGGTGAACCCACAGCGTGCCTGTGTCCTCCCAGTATAGCCACATTATGCACAACAGCAGCTGCCACGTAAACTCTTTTTTATAATCCCTTGTGAGAGCAATGACGGTTGTTCCCATATTCATCCCCCACTCTCTATCACAGAAGACAGTTTCCACCTCCCCACATTTTTATGACCACTGAACACCTGCAGAAATTGTTCAGGATAAGCTCTGATTAAATATGTCCCATCCAACGAATGATTCCCATTAACGAGGCCCCCTCCAGACTGCCATTCTCCACCACATTCATTCATGGTCCCCCTCGCTCGGCGCCATCACCCAGGCTGCCCTCGCTTCCCTCCAGCCAGCTGCCCCGGGTTTTTGCTGAGCAGATCAGCTGTGGTACGCTCTTGCCATGCTGTCTAACCCCAAACTACTCAGACTAGTTACTGAGCATTGAAGTTAATCCCTGAACTGAAGTTAATACTTAGATGTGCGGCAGAGCCAAGAGATGCACTGAAGAAGTGCACTTGCAGAGGCCTCCAAATGCCCCTCTCTCGCTGCCTGCCAAGTGATGCTCGTGGGCTGGCTGCCAGCAGAGCTGAGGACTGCCTGGCTGTGGTTTTTTTAAATCATATAAAGGGCACTCTCATTCATTTGCAGACTGTGTAGGCTGGTCGTAATGTCAAGAAATGCGTCTTAGTTCCTCTTTGATAGCCGTCTGCAAATTGGCATTCTGCATTCAGAGTTACTCTGTCATCTGCAGCACCCTACGGGCTTCAGCACTCACAGCAAACCCTCCACGGAAAGGCCCCAGGGAGCTTCGGATGCAGGAACTCTGCCTTCTCCCCCCGCCTTGGTTGCAAGCCTCTTTTTTCACGGTTACAGATAGCGATTCTGGTTTCCTCCCCACAAGTCACTTGCCTCTTCTGTGCAGAGAGTGAGCTCTCTGGCAGGAGTTTCCCTCTGCTGTGTGTGGGTGAACCTGCACATCTGACACCCTAATTCCACTAACACCTACGAGTCCTGTCTTGCTGCAAGTAGCGACTGATGGCAACAGACAGTACAATCCACCAAATCCATGAGGGCATCCTCCTACCTCCCACCTTCTGTGGGCTCTGCCTTCTCACTTCAAACACAGACATCAACCGATGCAGAAAAGACAATCAAAACAAAGCTAAACAAAATGTTTAAACTGGTTTCTCTCTTTTAAGGATCTTTATGCATTAGACCTAGAACCATACCGCTACTCTGGAGTGAACCTGACCGGCTTCCGGATCCTCAACGTGGAGAATCCGCACGTGTCCTCCATCATCGAGAAGTGGTCCATGGAGCGGCTGCAGTCAGCGCCCAAGGCGGAGCTGGGACTGCTCGATGGCGTGATGATGGTATGAGAGGTTTAAACAAAGCACGGGGGAAGTCTGGGAAGCAGACCAGAGCGGTAGGGAAGGCAGGAACATTTGTTAAGGCCTAATGTTATAGCTATTGGTTCTCGTAACAACTCATCCCAGGTATCTTCCCCCAGGTAGCTGCTTGCATTCTTTAATAACCATCCCTCAAATGCAGCAAGTTTGGCTGGTGGATGCCCTGCAGCACACTGTTAACACAGTCCTTTTGCAGACCCAGCTGCCGACAGATTTGCCAATTTTGAGAGACTGTGCTCCTTCCCTCCCCTCCCTTCTCACCAGTAAAAAGCTGCCCCCAGGACTGGCAAAATTCAAAGCTTTCAGTTCCAGAAAGGGCTGAGCACGGTGGGGAAGCGCCCTGGCTATTTCGTGCCGGGAACAAGAGAGGGAGCTGCAATCAGCTGGATATTGTACCCCTTGTTCAGGCGCAGCAGGATTTCTCCGTGCTCACCTGATGTGCAGCTGCAGCGAGCGCTCGCTGACCTGGAAAGGGACAGGCTGTGTGCACCCCAAACCCAGAGCACGCAGGAACGGGCATCCTCTCTCTTCAGTTGCCCTCCACAAGTCCTGTTTCAGCTCGGGGCAGGACGATCACCTTGCGAGTCCCTCTGCCTAGCCCTGGGAGCAGTGCTGGGGAGCAGAAACGCTCCTGTCCCACCAGACAAACCAGGTAGCAGGGCCTGTCCCACAGGAGCTTGCAGGGCTCCAGCTGCCATCATCTCCCCATGCAGTCCCCAAGAGCAGCCGAACGCCCAGCTCCCAGGGGCTGGGAGCACAGCACACGGCTGGACTGGGCCCGGCAATTCGCTGAGATTGATGCAGGGAGAAAGAGCCAAAGCTATGCCCAGAGATGGGCTTTGCTGCAGCTTTGATGACTCCTTTTAGGGACTGATGGCAGCTCTGCTCTGCTGAGTTACTGCTCGGAAGGTACAGCACCTGCTCGCCCATCTGTCTTCCCTGCGAGGCTGTCTCCGACCCCCGTAATTGCTGACTGCCTTCCTCCTTCCCTCTCCCTTTAGATCTGCCAGAACCCCCTCCATAAGTGGCAAAGCCTCCCAGACTTTCACCTTGAAACGGCTCCTCATATTCCTCCTGTTCTTTTTTTTTCTTAGAGGAGAGCCCCACCATTCTCCTTTAGCCTTCTACTTTTCTGCAGCGTTGCCCACAATTGCAGCATCGCTGGGTTCCCCCCGCCGCCGCTGCCTCGTCTCCCCTTCTCTGCCTCTTTACTTCTTCAGAGGGGATCCCACCTTTTCTCTGGGTTTGCCTGGTGTCTGTCCCAGCGGGGCCCTGATCTCAGCTGGACGTTACAATGTGTAATTCACCATGAAATTGCTTAGACATATTCTTGTACCCCCTCTCCCCATCCCCAAACTTACAAACCCCGTCCCTGCTGCTGTAAATACAAGCCCACGGGATGCAGGTCGGGTGCCCGCTCTTCACGCTCGGTGCTGCGGGAAGGGAAGGTCACGGGGATGGCTGCCAGCATTGGAGGATTTTCTCCACAGCCACATCCCGTTAGATATTTGCCCAGTTGTTTGCTGCATTATTTTGTTTTATTGTGTTTTATTATTCTGCTGCTACACTCACATCTGTTTTGCAGCTTTGTGAAGCCAGCAAATAATGTATTTTCACTAGGAGGTCTTACCATATCGGAGTGAAAAATAAATCCAATTCTCTTGATCAGTGTTTGGAGGTGAGATGGGGCATCTCAAATTGAATCTAAACCCATCACATTATATGAAAGAAAAAAAAAAAACTTCTCCTAGTTCAAATCACTGAAATGCGGGAAGATGTTACAAATCTGCGAGGTCCTGATTTCAGTGGCAGTTTGGGTCATTTTGGACAATTCCGTGCCCACAAACAAGCCATTTAACTTCTCTGTTTCGTATTTCCCCATATATAAAATAGTGCGAATAATACGTTCTCATATAGGTTTCTTTTTACACTCAGACAAAACAGACTAAATAAGAAAATTCTGTTACTACCTTCTACATTTAGAAATAACTAGCTTCCTTGTTTGACAGTACAGTAGTAAATGAGCTAGAAATAATCAGAATAGATGCACACAGACAAATGGCATTTTCGCAATCTCTGATTTTAAGACAGAACTATGATCTTTTAGTCTAAAGAGCCACCTAACAGAAAAACACGCTCGTGAGGCTTTGTCATGTGCAGAACTACGTGTTTTGAGGACGTGTTTTGCATGAGACGTCAGCCTAGAGGCTTATACAAGTCTTGTGTTAAAGCATACGCATTTACAGCAATCTCTTGAGATCCCCGTGAATCTCTTGAGATCCCAGGGCATCTCTTGAGAGCCCAGCCCTGCCCTCGGAGCGCTGTTTGCAGGGTTAGACACCCAGGAGGTGGGATGGTCGGCAGTGGACCAGGACAGAGAAGCCCTCGGGTGCGCTGGGTGGTGGGCAGGGGGTAACTCAGAGGGGGTTCTTGCAGCTTCTCCTGCGACACGTTACAGATCCCCTGCTGCTTTGCTGTCCGAATGCTTCTTTGCTCTGGAGCCACTATCAACACAAATGCTCTTCCCCTTTACTTTAGACAGACGCTGCCCTGTTGTACGACGCGGTGCACGTGGTCTCCGTCTGCTACCAGCGCGCCCCTCAGATGACCGTGAACTCCCTGCAGTGCCATCGGCACAAAGCCTGGAGGTTCGGTGGCCGCTTCATGAATTTTATAAAAGAGGTAAAAGCATGATTTGTAACCATAAGTGCTTCCCCCTAACGCAAAACTTCCCCGGCAGGAGCAGCGCAGCTGCTCAGCGCGCAGGTATGGAGGCACACGGCAGAGAGGCTCGGCAGGTACAGGGTTATAAAACCCCCCGCCTGGGCAGGTACAACTGGATGGAAGCACAGATAGACACCAGGCTGCTGAGTGCACCCAGAAAGGAAAAATCCTGTCTTTGCCTTCAAAATAACATCCGTGCAGCCACGCCAACATCCAAAACAAACTGAAATCTCCCATGCTGTCACCGAGACTTGCCCTGGCCTCTTCTTGCGTCAAGAGCAGCTGGACCACTCTCTCTCCGAGGCCGTTTCTTAGCAGAGCAATAGCCATTTGCCTTTTACAGGAACATTTGCTTGGGGTCCACAAAGGGCATTCAGTGCAGCTAAATCCCAGCGGCAAACTGGCAGCACTGTGCGTCTCTGCCTGTGTGCTGATGAACGGCTTTGGCAGAGCGGCGGGTTTAGCAAGTAGGGAGCCAGGGGAGCGAGGAGGCAGCTTCCTTTGCTCTCTGTTTTCAGTCATTATGATTTCTCTCTGTTCAGCCCACATAATTGTTTGTTTGCATCTGGCTTAAGCACACAAGTGGACTCAAAGCACAGGTGTTTATGAGCAGTGAGCTCACCGGGGGAGTGCAGCACGGGGCAGCTGCAGCGAGAGGTGGCCAGCCCTCCCAAAAGAGCCCCCGAGCACGCACCCCTGTGCTCACACCCCAGGTTTTGCTCTGTCTGCAAAAAGGAGCCCTCACATAAGAAAAAAAATAAGGCAGAGCTGCAAGGAGTTACTGCAAACCCTACCAGACATGTCTTTGTGATAAAAACACCTTATTTGCCCTAAGGCCTTTTTAAACTTCTATGCCTGTGGCTCTTCACATGGGAAGTTATGAAACTGGCTGCAGTACAGGATACACGACCGGGCCACATTTAAAAGGCTGGGTATAAAATCCCCTAAAGTTTTTAAACAGAAAGAGTAGAAGTCCATTGCTAATCGTTACTATGATTCGTGCTGCAGTATCACCTACAGACCCCAGCAGACCCTGAACACAGGCACACCAGTGCAGCGAGAGCGTGCCCACCCCGGGTGCGCCCCGAGCTGCAGGGAGCGCACGGACGTAGGGGAGGAGAAAAGAAGAATGATTCCCACTGCAGAGAGAATGAACTTTTTTCTTAATAGGCACTGAAGACGCTATCTCTCTTCTGTCTGCCTCTCTCACTCTCCTTTTTCATGTTTTGTTCCCTTCTGCAGAAAGCCGCTCCAGCTGGCTGCCAAAAGAGAGTGTAAATAATTTGTTTGGTTGGCTCCTTTTGCAAATTACCCCGAGCCTCACACTCCAGTGCCTGCCTGTTGTTTCCCTTTCTGGCACCGTGTCAGCTCGTTGCAGGGATAAGCTTGCTCCCGTTGCAATCAGAACACACAGTAATTGCTCTCTCTAAACTCCTGTAAAGACAACGCAGCGCACCCAGGGATGCCTCACCGCAGGCACCCGCTCCCTCGGCCCTGGGCTCCCCACAGATACCAGCACCGCTCGCTCTCTGTGCACGCACAGGCCGTGGCCCCGACTGCACCGGATCGGTGCAGAGCTGTCGCTCCCAGGGTGAAGCCCTGTTTGTTCATACTTGCCAAGGCGCAAAGGGGCCAGAATGGCGGCCTTGCCAGCCCCAGGGAGGCCACCCTCCCCCCGTGTGTTGGCAGGGCTCCCCGGGAAGCAGGGGGACAGGGCCAAGCACGGGGGCAGGAGGCGGGGGGACAGGCTCTTCTGCAGCCACCGCCTGCTCGGAGCCCAGGACAGCAGCGCTTGGAGTTTGCCTGCAGAGACAGGGCCGACACCAGCGGGATCAGAGCCCGTCGGGGGCCGCGGCGATGCCGTGCACCCCCAGCCCGGCCCTGGGAGCCGTGCAGCCCATCAGTGCTCTCGCTCCAGCCCCACAGGAGGTGCAGGGCTCAGCACACAGCTGTGTTTGCTCCAGTTGGGTACGTTAAACATGCCGTGTTTTCCCAGGCTCCCGGGGGGCTCCGCAAGCTGCGTGTCCCACCGGCAAACCACCTGCATGCCAAAATGAGCAAACTGAGCACAGCCTTCCCCGAAACTCAAGGGTGGCGAGGCTGGGAGGAGGCTGTCATTACTCCTCGGGAATTAATGAGGAAGAGCCAGAGGAGCGTATTTACTGAGAAATATGCCAGTCATTCCCCCCTGAGAATACATTATGCCACCTTCGTCACACTGGGATATTTCAAGCTCCCCTGCCTATAAAGGAAACGCATTCATCAGCAAGGAGCGCGCCCTGAACTGCTCGGGGGAAAGAGCCCCGAGTCCCAGCTCTCCATGCTGAGATGTGATTGCAAAGCAGTAAACCATGTCAGCAGCCCGGCACTCTTACGAAGCGTCCTCCTTGGGACGGATGCTCATGGCACGTCCTAGCACTGTCCCCAGGCAGAGCAGGCATCATCTACCACGCTGTCCCTTAGCACTTGCTCTGCTAACACCTGATATTTGGTGCTCTCTCACCTCCTACATCAGAGAGACTAATTCTGGTGGTGCTGCAAAGTGTACCGTGGAAAAGAAACAGCATCACAGCGTAATTTTGGTTGAAACTAATCTGGACATCTTTACCCCAAGGTCCTGCTCAGAGCAGGACTAGCTCCCAAGTCAGACCAGGCTGTGCAGGACCTCGTCCAGTTAAGCATTGAAAATCTCCAGTAACAGAGCTTCCCCGGCCCCTTTGGGCACCTGCCCCGCGCTTATACTGCCAAAACCAGAACCAGGGGTACCGACACAGCACGTGCCCACCGTATTGCCATGCCTGTTTCAGAATGACAGAGCCTGCTAGCATGGACAAGCCCTGGGCCTCTTCTGCTCCACTCTCCATCTGAAAGGAAGGAGGGAGGTGTTCAGGACATTTTAGCTTCCACACACCTTGGAAGCATCAGCAGGTTCATGCAAAAAAGGATTATTTATGAGCTTGACTGGAGTTGTCCCAAACCCAGGCTCCCTGCAGCCCAGCATTTGTCAGTACTACAAGGATAAACGCAGCACACAAGGATGCCGTGATAAATGCAAGCAGTTTTCTACCGAGTCATCATGTCCTGCAACAGCTGGTGAACACAAAAGGTGCGAACAAAAATTGTAGCAAGGACTGCAAGAGAGTTAAGAAAATCTACAGCTCTGTCTGCAGTCTGAACAGTGACGGAGGTGATTATTAATTAATCATGCTCTCTGGGGAGAAAGAACCAGTATAAGGACTAATTAACAGAACATACAGTGGAGGGCAAAAGATTATTTATGATACCAAGTAACAACCCTGCTACTTTTTCTCCCTTCCACAGGCCCAATGGGAAGGATTAACGGGACGAATTGTCTTTAATAAAACTAGTGGTTTAAGGACAGATTTTGATTTGGATATCATCAGCCTCAAGGAAGACGGTCTCGAAAAGGTAGGCAGGGTTTGTCTTATCTGCATGTGGCTTAGTCTAACTCTGATACTCGGGCAACAGAGAAAATGGTTGGTGGTTGTAGTGTTTCCGTGTTTTCTGGTTTTTATATGAAAGGATATTTACTTTGTGGGATTTCTCAGATCCTTTTCCATGCTTCATCCATGACTCACTAGCCCTGAGGCAACATGCGTGGGATTACAGTAACTAGCTGCAGAAGTGCTTGTGGCACTTTCCTGGGATAGTGGAAGCAGAAGAAACTTTCTGAGCAGACATTAACCTCTCCTTGTCCAGGCCAAAGGTGGAAGGAGCAAAGCCTGTCCCACCCCCCATCTTGCTGGGCTTGCTTACAAAACATTGATTTTTCCCTGAGGACGCAACAGCTCTTGAAAGCATCATCGCGGTGTGATTTCCCACAATGAAAATTGCCCAAGGCTTGTAAATGGCACCAGCTTATTACAGCCCAGATTTTGCAGGAGGATGCAGTGTGTATTTTTGTTTATTTCTTCTCTGCGTTAGCTAAGGGACAATAAGAAAAAAAGCAAAGTGCGTTTTTGCCTGCCTGGCTGGAGGGGTCTCTCCGGTGGCCGTGTTTGCCCAGCCGCCCAGAGGAGACTCGGCACAAAGGCTGCAGCCTCAGATCCTCCTGATTAGTGCAAATCTCCTCTGGACACAGAAATGCAATGCTGATGTGCAAATCTGATTCTCAGGTGTTCATGGGGATTTCATTTCCTTTCCTTCCATTACCTTAAAATAAAAAGGCAATGTGCAAAGCATTGTAGCTCCTAGAACACAGGTTTCAAGGTGAGATCAGTTCGTTTAAGACAAAAGGGAGCAGCGAGTGGCCTGAAGTGAAGGAAGCACTGCCCGGCGGACAGCTGATAGCAGCAGGGAGCGATGCCCAGGGGCTGTGCTCTAATCAGGCTCCAGATCATGGCATGCGAGGCCACCGAGGGCTCCCGGAGCCTGACCCCTTTTGTCAGTAATTCTGAGTCCCCTTCTGCTAAAGGTGTCTCGCAGATTTACAGGAGAAAGTTGGCTACTGGGCAGCAAATTCCTTTTTAGAGCAGAGTCTGCTTCTCGACAGGCACAAGGTGCCTACTGGCAGGTAGGGATGAGTGCTGAGTCCTGTAACCTTTGGGCACGGAGACAGGTTATGCTGCCGCGGGAAATGCCAGGCGGAAGCAGAGAGAGAGTTTTCAATTAACCATGCAGCAAGCGGCCCAACATGCACAGATGACTTTTCCAGTTAAGGCCGGGGAATTAATCAAACGGTGCAGGTAGGCAGCCCCCGGAGGCAGCAGTTTGATCAGCCCCCCCCGTTTGGAGGGGACGGATCCTGCGCGGCGAAGCTCCCTGCGACCAAACAGCTTGACTTCCCCATCCCCCTTTTTTCCAGTTTGTTTCTCAATAAATTGTTGCCACGCTTTCACACCACAGCAGTAGTTCTCTGCTTCATGTAAAAATTCTCAAGGTCACCACAGCACTCTCCTAGTGGGTATATTTTGGTGTCAAACACAGAAAAAAGAAAACATTTCAAAGAAACCCAATGACCTTCAGTCTTGGCTGCGATCAGCCGAGCCTGGGCAGCAAGGAGGCGGGTGGGGAGCAGGGGAAGACGCCATCCTCTCACAAGAACCGAGCGGGAGATGATCTTGTAGCTTGTCTTCTTTTTTTACAAAATATTTTGCTTATAGAGCCTAAACCAAAAAAAACCAACACGGCCTTTTGGAGTGGGGTGGCACTGATGGACTGCCGGAGAGCTGTGTTGGTAGAATAATAGAAGAATGTGCGAGATTTGGCTACCATGTGAATCTAAATGTTTAAGTACAACCGCAATATCTATCTGTCAAGCTAATACTCCTCAGGTGTAGTGGAGAATAGCTGGCACCAGCTGTATTTATTACTATTGTGTGTGTCACATAAAGCCCGTAGGAAGCCGCCGAACCTTGATGCATGCTCTGTACAGCCGTTCAACTTTGGTCTCCAACAATTCAGAGATTTCACAGTTCCCACTATTATTGTTTTTTAAAGCTTCTTGTCAACTCTAGAGAGGTTTTAAAGTATCGATGTCAAATCTCTGTTGAAGCTAGGTTTCTGTCAATAGTTAATCTGAAATAACAAAACGCCAAACTACAAACAAATCCCATACGGATTGTGCATTATGTATAATAGCTTGTGTTTGTTGAGCTTTAGGATTGAACTCCTGATCCTTATACCTCCTGGACGTTCCAGGGACTACAGGAGTATTAACTAAACCTAATTACATGTAGTTTGACTATCTGACTTGCACAGTTCTCTTACTGCACTTTTTCCTTTTTTTTTCCTTTTTTAATATTTTAAACTGATTAGTTCAGTCTTAAGTGCCACTTATTTAATTTTCTTAAAGAAAACTTAGCAAGGCATAGTTAACTGAGTCTGCAGCACTGCCAGTAGAGGCCCCTCAGACTCGCTTCTCTTCTCCCATGCACAATAATAATCTTTTGACATTGCAGCTGTTGTGCGATCGAAGGGAGATATGGGGGATTGCTTAGGTTTTACCTGAAATATTTAGAGCCCTTCACAAAGTTCATGGAAACTCTTCTAGAATTTATAACGTTTTTTTGCCAGGCAGCATTGCTCATTACAAAGTCTCTTTTTGGGGATGCAGTAAAACCAAGTTCTCTCCTTGGACTGCTGAAGAGGTTGAAGAATCTTAAAAATAGCAATAAATAAAATAGCAGAAGTTCCTGGCTCCCCAGTGGGTTTGAGCTGTCTGCCTTTGGTTTCTCCCTGAGTCCCACCTCACAGTTTGACCCTACAGATGGATCGTTCTGTTCCCATTTCCATGTGGGGTTTTGTTTTTTCTCACTGTCAGGCTGGCTATATGGCCACCCTGCTCCATTTCTTGGCAGCAATCCCATATTCCTCCAGCTTTCCTGACATTTTATCTCACCATCACAGTCCTTTAGCCAGTCCTGCCTTCAAAGTTTGTTCTAAAGCCTCCCCTGCACCGCAGAGATCAGGTTAACAGGCTTAGAGTTGCCCAGATGACTTCTCTTAAATACAGACATGTTTTGCTATTTCTGGGTCAATAGACTTCTTCAAAGTCCAATGATTTATTTAAATTGACAGCTCGAGAAAAACAGAGCACCTCAAACTGATGAGGAGCACAGCTGCGTGTACCTGTGCCCATGCCCAAGCAAGTCTGCTGCCATTCCCTCCTCCAGGTTTGCTACCAGGACCGAGACCTCCCATTGCCCCGAAGGGGTGACCAGGGCCCTTCCAAAAGGACCTGTTAGAAACATCCCTCTAGTTTGCCACAGCGCAGAGGATAGGAATGGTCCCTGCCAGGGATTTGCAGAGCTGGTCAAGTCATTTTTCATTTTCTCCACCAAAGCAAACTGGTGGGGAAATAAAAAGGAAAGAAAATAGCCTCATATTTATATTTGTTTTCTTTTGTTCTGCTTTATCCTTGCCCAGAGTTGACTCTTCAGCATGGTTTGACTGTTCGCTCTACACAGTACCTTTGCAAGTTGTTCATTCAGCCCCTAGATTCCAGTCATCGTGCTCTTCTTTCATGCACCTGCATCAGAGGGCAGCGTGAGGGTTGCTTATTTTACATGTGCAGCTGGAGTGACCTGCAACTGAAGGGTTAATGCAAATCTTCCGTTTAGGTGATACAAGATGATAATTTCAGCTTTGCTTCTGTTTAATGTAGATGAAAGAAGCAATGTCCATTTTCCAGGCCAGAGGGATGCTGAGAGCAAGTGAGGAATGTAAGCTGGGCGTTCATGCGTTCATTTGCTTTGTTTCAGGTTGGAGCGTGGAGCCCATCTGATGGTTTGAACATCACAGAAATTTCCAAAGGACGAGGGCCTAATGTCACAGACTCGCTGAGCAACAGATCTCTAATTGTCACCACTGTCCTGGTACGAGATTGCAAGCCTGTCTTTTTCCCCCACCCACAAATGTCAGGGATACCTGGTATCTCTGCAAATCCCCAGCATCCCAGTACAGATCCGCTAGTCCCTCTGGAAAGCCGAGCAAGGGCACAGGGAGCCCCTGCGTGCGGGCTGGGCTCAGCAGGGCACCGCGATGCCCACGCACCTGCACCGAGGTGACCTGCGGCATCCTCCGATGCCACGGCTCCCGAGCAGGCTGCCACCAACACGTGGCGGACAGCGAGGCTGGCACGGGCCCGCTGGAACTGCGCGTGTTCCCTGTACCCGGGAGGCTGCTGCTCCTCCGCTTCAGCTGCCCAGCCGGGTCCCCGTCCCCCCTTGCTCCCTGCATGCTGGAGGGCGCGGGAGGTTTGTGGCTGCTGAGCTCCAGGAAAGCTCCAAGTCGCCCATTTACCACCAGCGCCTGGCAGGCAGCAGCGGGCACGGTGAGATGGCGGCACTGCCTGCTTCAGACAGGGGTGTTGTTGTTACAGGAGAAAATACTAAGAACAACCGAAGACCCTGGCTTAGCTGTGACCGCTGTGTTTCTTTCCTCCTCTTAAGTACACATTTGATAAACTAGCTAAGAGTAATGCTGTTATCCAGCAAACCACGGTTGCTTAACGGGTCTCCTCCGCTTCCAACTGTCGTGCTGCATTTTGTTCTCACATTCGCTATTGGATTTGACAGCAGGCATCAGATCAGAATGAATTTTTATTTACTATGTAATGAATTATGACTAGTGGCATTGGTTTCTATATGGCTGTATTACGCAGTGCAGGCTCACGGCATGTCACCAGGAAGCAACAAAAACTCTCAGCCCTTGGACAGCCCACCCACAATTGGGCCTGAATTATGGCTTTGCCTATGGAAATTTCCTGGCCCTTTTCTGTTCCGTATTTTCAGGGAACGTAAAGGTACAGACGGTAAAGAGCCAGCTGGGGACGCATTCCCCAGTCCAGAGCAGTGTGATCCCTCGTGACGTCCTTGCCTTCCCAAAAGGACGTGACCTGACAGAGTGGGGTTTTGTATTATAGAAGGAATGGGACCAAGAAAGTGCCCAGAGAGAACGGAGGAACCGGGAAAAACCTGGTCCAGGGCAGCAGAAGGGCTGGAACCAAAGGGCTTGTATTGCTCCGCAAGAGGTTAGCAGAATGGAAGCAGGCAGCATGTGAGCCAAATACAGACGCTGCTGCAGCTTTCCGTGCAAATCAGCCATCCCTCCTAACAAACTTCCCATTCATCACACAATATTTGTTCCAATGACACATTTTCATTAAAGCTCCTCTCTCCAAGAGTCAGGTGCAGGCTTAGCTCATTGACTACACTCAGTAACAAACCACTTTCATGTCTCCACACGCAGGAGAGACTAGAAAAGTTCCTTCCCTTCCCAGTCCAAAAGTTTTCTACTGCGCCAGGCCCATGAGACCGTCATGGGCCGTGCGTAAGGGGGATTCTGCACAGGGCGGTGTTCTGTGCCGTGCGCATTAGCAGAACCGGCGGCAGCAATGGTTCCCCACTGGCTACGGTTATTGAAATGAATCGTCACATCAGGAGTTACTGCAGAAAGAGCAAAAGGCACTTTAACAATTCAACATGCATCACATTGTAAGACTGCTTCTGTTGAGACCCTTGCAGCAGTGTGCGTGCACTCAGGCACGATACGCACACAGTTTGCTCTTTCTTTTTTTTCTTTTGCGTTTAAGCATTCTTGGTGTGTTCAGAAAGCAGAAATTTAGGTAGTGTTTTTCTAACGGGCCAAATGGAGAGACCTGCCATGCCAGATTTAGTTTATTTTAGTAAGGTAACCTAAAGCGCTGCCACGTACCCGTATATAGGAGATGCAAATTTTAGGGCAACATGAATAACACATCCCATCAAGTCACTCCCGGGTGGAGGGTCGGGATCAGCTCTAAGGGAATTGTTCAACCTGTACTGTGGCTGGATAAAACTCCCCAGAAGTTATACGACGACTCCTCTCCCCCCGACTCTCTTTAATTAGAACTGTGTGCAGCACACCGGGGTGGGACGGGCGGTAGCACTGGGGCGAAGGCTGGCGGGACGGCAGCAGAGCTGCCTGCGCTGGGAGCTGGAGGAGCACCCGACCACGGGGTGAAGCCGAGGGACAGCAGTTAAGTTCAGGACGGGAATACCAGTGAAAGCTGAACAGACAGGACTGACGGAAACCAGAAAAGATGCATCTTGTCAGGGGCAAGACGCACGGCCAGAGTTGTGGAAATGGCTGGGTCTAGGGCGCAATAATCACTGTACCTCAAAGGCCACGGCATAATACAAAATGATGGAGTCAGGAGGAGACCTGTCAGCCATCTGCCTTTGACATGCTTTTTTCTGGCAGTGTTTTCATCTCATACTCCACGAGCATGTAGAAATTACGTAAAGTACAAGGGTGATATCAGTTCCTATTAATTGTGCCATTCCTTGGGCCTGCACATGTGCCATGGGATATCTCCCTCGAAACCACAGCTGTCCTGCAATTCCCTTGCCTGCAGGAGGAGGAAATGTGCTTAGACCCAAGTTCTGCAATAACTATGTTTTCATATGCTGGATTCTAAAAAATAAAATACAACCCTAAATTTTATTTGCATTTGCAACACCCCTTTGTAGTTTTGCACTGGTGTAAATGATTGTAGAGAAGCCATAGGAGGAACCTTTAAAAGGAAAAGCATGAAAGGTTATTTTTTCCCCTTTTGCTCATATTGCAGTGACTTGTTGGAAGAGAAATATTACCCCAGCAGCCAGCGCCACTCTCCCCAAGCAATATGGGAACTGTGAAGTTATGAAATTGAGGGCACCTTCACTGAGAAATCGATTAGCAAACCGAGAGAGCTTGCGAATTGGATGTCTGGCCATTTTCAGTAATAAATTGTGAAATAGTCCGTGAATAAGTGGTTCACAGAGTTCAGAATTACCCCCAAGGAAATGTTTGAGACCTGGAGATACATTACTGAAGCGAGTGGCGTCCTAATGTTCAGTGCTTCGGCTGTTAAATATGTATGTAATCCCTACAGCGCTTCCCAAAATTAATAGTGCTTTATGGCTGCTCTGGAGCCGGTGTATTTATATCAAGATCCATAGATTCAGCTGATTCACAAACAAAGCACTAATTCCAGTGAAGCAAGCGGAGGAGGAGGCTGGGGAAAGCAGGATTTAACCGAGCTGTGCATGCCAAGCTAAACTCTATAGGCGTGATGTTATCAGTTTTGCTTTATAATTCTGCAAATCGAGCTTCGCGTGCTCTCTCGTCCCCTCCTTACCCTGCTTTGAGACCGAGCGGGGGTGGCAGAGGTCTCCCACAGCAGAGGTGGGGGCTGACTGGTTGTACTGGGAGACAAAAGCCGCCGACCTGCAGGCTGGCAGAGCCCAGCTCTGGGTCCTGAAGCCCCTCCTCAGCGTACCCACCCAGGGCAGGGCACCTGCCCTCCGCCAAACCGGGCATCTCGGTAATACCCTCACCAGGACTCCAAACCTTCCCTCCCGTGCCTTCAAGCCCCCCTGTCCCCATGCAACACCGCGGGGACTCCAGCAACACGGCTCGCTCGCCAGAGCAAAACGTGAGCCCCTCCCCGGCCACCCTGCGGGCAAGGACGGTAGCCTTCCAGATACCTTCAATTCAAGCCACGTATTAGCTGCTGTTGGTATCTCATCCTCCCCTTGCCTTCTAGCTTTGCCTGCTGCCTACCATTTTGTGCCATTTCCATCTGTCCTCTACACGTTTTCTCCCTCAGGCTCCCCAGTGTCCCTCGTCCTTGGTGACTGCCCAAGCCTGATATTCACCAAAGGGCTGTGCAGTTTGCTAACTTCACCTGCCAGCCTCCGCTAAACGGGCAGGGATCCGTAGGGCAAAGCCCGCCATAAAGCACTTTATTAGTTATTTTTCCCTTGTGCTGGTGCTTGGTACTGCTGTGGTTAAAGACACCCCCAGCCTTCCCACGGCAGGCACAACTGGCGCAGACAGCAGAAACTCTCTCTGGGCAGCAGTAGGGCCCCGTATCCCATCAGCTAGTGCTTTTTCCAAAAGGAAAGCAAACTAAGCTGGGGAATGTCTTGGGCTGGCCACCAGCCACACACGGCTCCCTCACCCTGTCTTTAACCACCAGCCTCTTGCTGGTGCAGTTCAGCCGCATTTCTGCTGTGCGGGACTTGGGGTTGAATTTGTCCTCCCCCTTTTTATTGTTTCTCAACACTCTTCATTTTCAGAGCATGAAATGGTTAATTTTCTCCCTGAAATCCTACCAAATGGAAAGCAGTTGGCTGCTTAGAAGAGACAAAATTAAATTTTGTGGGGTAAACAAGGTTGCTAATTAGCTGATGTGCTGTGCAAAGTTAATTTATTCCCAACATGTCACGGTGCCAACCCTGCTCGAAGAGCCTGCGCCTCGTGGCTCAGGTTGACCTGCAGGGGCGGCCCTGCCTCCGGTGGGAGCTGGGACCACAGCTGACCCTTAACGGGGACTTTTTGCCTTCCACGTGCAGGAGGAGCCCTTTGTCATGTTCCGTAAGTCCGACACAGCCCTGTTCGGGAACGACCGCTTTGAGGGTTACTGCATTGACCTCCTGAAGGAGCTGGCCATCATCCTGGGCTTCACCTACGAGATCCGGCTGGTGGAGGACGGGAAATACGGGGCACAGGATGAGAAGGGGCAGTGGAACGGCATGATCAAGGAGCTCATCGACCACGTGAGTGGGGCCCATCTGTGGCGTGGACAGCGGCGGCTGCCGAGGGGCGGCTGTGCCCGAGGCTTTCTGCCTGGGGTAGGGCGGGTGCCCGCTGCTCGCTGGCTTGGGATACCCGCAGCGAGCTCCTAACCCTGCCTGGGCTCTGCCTGTGTTGCATGGTTTGTCAAAAGAGTATCTCTTTGTCTGACTCTTCCAAATATTCATTTGGAGTTTCTGAAAACGGACATTCTCACAGCACAGAAACGGACTCCATGGCTTCAGCCGCAGACGCTCCCCGCTGGGCCGCTGCCCGGCAGTGGGATGCAGCCTGGGCACGCACAAAGGAGGGAAGAGGCTCCTCCGAGGCCCGGCTGCATGCTGGCTCTCCTGAGCCGGCAGCACGGCGCCTGGGCAGGAGCAGTGCGTGCCTGCCCTCATCCCCCGAGGATGCTGCTGCTCTGCCCCTGACAAACACCGGCCAGGGCACAACCCCGAGGTGGCTCAGGGACCCCAGACGTGTCCCAGACACAGCTCAGCTGAATCCAGATGACGTATCCAGACTGCAAGAGCAGGTGTGCAGCGGACAGTTTTATATTTTTTTTTATAAACGCAGCTTATTTTCTAAAATCTCCTGGGACACGGCGCTCCCCCTGCAGCAGAGCAGCTGTGCTTTTCCTTCGGCGGCCACTTCTAAAAGCCCATTAAACACTAGCGAAACTGTCGTGGCAGCTTTACGCTCGCAGCCGCCAAAAAGTCACCTAGTCTGAAACCTCGACTCGCAGCCAGAAGTTGCTCAGCTTCCTAATTAGATATTTTGCCTCCAGCACATCCTGTGATCCCAGAAGCCTAGTTAGGGAGGTGAGGAAAGCTGGTGTTTTTATGAATCTCTTATTCCCAGGAAAGGTCTCTGGAAGAAAAGATCAGGACAAAATTAATCTATGATCTCGGCAGCACAGGCAGCAGTATAAGCCGTCCTAGAGCTCTAACACAGCTCTCTCCTCCTGAATATCCTGCTCAAGTGGTGCAGCCCTTGGACCACCTCTCATGTTCCTGGCTACATTTTCAAAACATTGCCTAAGCAGAAAAGAGACAAAAATAATCCCACGTACATAGCAGCTGTGATGCTCTTAGAGTTCATGTGAGAAGAATGTATTTGCTGGGTGAGTCACTTCAGTAAATGAGCTTCGCTGTGAACAGATAAGAGAGCATTGTCTGGCGGTGAGACTGCGGAGCTGGGGCTCAGGGATCGAGGTTGTGTTTCCGGATTTGGCTTGTCTGCCCTAAATGACATTGGACAAGTTGCTTCTGTGCAATGCTTCCTCCATCTGTAAAATGCAGATGATCATGATTATGTCCCTTATAGGGACAAAGTGATGCTTAATCCGTTTGCAAAGAGCGCTGTAGTCCTTGGATGGCTCACCCTGGAGAAGTGGGAAGTGCGGCAAGGGCACGCAAGGACAGCCCTTGGGGGAGCAGGACGCTGTGTCTCACAGGGCAATATGCCACGGGCTGTGCAAACCTGCCTTTGTGTTTTTGCTTCCAGAAAACTCCAAGCAGCTCAAAATACGGATCTCATAGTCTCTTATGCAACAGCCTTGCTAAGTTAGACAAGTGACACCCAGCGTCCCAGCGGAAGAGACTGGTGCTTTGCTGCTCCGAGTGATGTGTGTGATGCAGACACAAAGAGACGCAGGCCAGGCTGCAAACCTCGGCAGCGTGCTCCAGGACACAGCCTCCCGCCGTCCCGCACCCGCTGCCGGGAGCAGAGTCTGTGGCTCTCACCGCAGAGCATCTGTAGGGTAGGGCTCTGGAGAAGCAAATTGCTCCAAAGCAGGATATAAGGTGTAGGAAATACAAACCAGACTGTCGTTTCGTCCAAACCATGTCACTTCCAATGCCCTGCAAGCTGTTATAGGGCTCTCGGGTGGCTTTCAGCCATTCCCAAAGCAGGGTGTGGTCAGCTAAAGAGACAGACCGAGAGGAAGGTATGGGGAACAGCCTCATTAAGTAACACAAAATTCATGGTCAACCTGCATTAAAGTATTTCTTGGCTAACTATTTAAAAAACAAATTAACATACAGCAACAGAAAAGGACCAAATCCCCTCCTCTTGCAAGTTTTACTGTAGCATCAAGTTTGAACTCTGCTTTCTAACAGGTGTGGTTGGGTGCACGCCTCGGAGTGATTTATAACCATTGCCCAAACCCCATATGAAGCCATTATTTTCTTTATCTGCATGTCATTGCTTTTTATAGCAGTGTTTATGTAAAGCATTAAAAAGTGAAACTGCAACCAGATGGGGCCCTTCCCCAGCAGCAAAGCATCCTCAAATCGTGTGGGGAAAGGAACAACTGATTGGCGCTTTGCAATGGGAGAGTTCAAACTTTTTTCACGCCTATTAGGAAAAGTGTTGGAGACAGCATTCAAACAAAGTTGTAGTGCTGCAAACAGGGCTGCCCACACTGTGAGTTTGACACCTGCGCTGGATTTCCTCCATATTCAGTGTCTCATTCTCATAAAAGAATTGGGATCATTCAGGTGGGAGCGTAAAGCAGGTAGGATTTTGTAAGGTCTGAACACCCCGGCCAGGATTAACTCTATGCAGAAAGACTGTGAATTCCTGCAGACCCACTTAACTGATGTGCATCCAAGGCTGAGCCACCGGGGACTGCTGTGATGGACCAGCTCCGGTGGGCTGAGCTGATGCGCAGGCTTGGTTGAATGCCCTGTGTTATCACTCGGAAGGGCCGAGAGCCGTGGGAGTGCCGGATGCTGTGTACCAGGAATAGCCTGATCCGAGGCTGGAATTTGGTGAAAAGGAGCTGGGCAAAGCAAGGGACAGCCCATCAGGCAGGATGGCCTTCTGCTGGGGCTGGGAAATACAGCCGGGGAGGAGCTGGGCGCAGGGGCCTGGCAGGGCAGAATGACGGTGTTTCAGGGATGACGGTGCCTACCACGCAAAGGTGTACATCACAGAGCACGTGACGGAAGACGGGCTGTTTACACAGTGAGCTCTCGCCGCTTGTTTTGGAGTTATGCATCATCCTCCTTCCCCTGTCCTCTCTGATCGAGGCATGCCTGGCCGTAGGCAGTAATGCCTTAGGCTATGATCCTTTGTAAAATTGCTTTGTTTCTAGTCTGGCCTTAAGCATAAACAGGAAAAGCAGCAGCAGTCAGAGCAGCTCACAGCATGACCCTGTCTTCCAGGTCCTCAGTAGCAGATCTGCAGAAGACAGCCTCGTGTGGTTAGATGCAAAAAGCCCTGCCCTGCTGCCTTTCATCTGCTTCTCGTCCTTCATCACAAAAAAATCCCTCTTTTGGGGGAGTTCAGTCCTGTGCCCTGCATCCATAATACAGAGGGAACCTGGCAACTGTCAAATCTCCTCCTTTCATCGGTAGTGAACTGTTATTGATGTTTATTCATAGAGATTATTATTGATACAAGCAAAACGACAGCGTGCATTGTGGCCCATCCATTCTGATTTATAAATTCTAGTTGTCTGGCAAAATAATGCCTGCAAATCTTCCCTATTGTTTGTGGGCAGAATCACATAAAACCAGCAAAATGAGTTGTTCTGGACATTCTGCACAAACTTGTCCACAAATAAAACTTGTCTTCTGCTGAGACAGTGCATATCAAATTTCCATTCAATCTGAAACTTCATGTGGGAATAAAAAAGGTATGAAAAATAATAGGGTTTCTAATGGAAATCCCTGCCAATAGTAACTATAGAGAAGATGTAATATCTATCCGTAGGGACGATTTATGACAGTTGATTTAACACTTTCACAATAAATGGGCATTTATTGACAGTAAATTCTGGCAGAAATACTGTACCACATTGCCACATTCCCATTAATGTTCCTGCACTGGTGGATGTTTATTTCAAGTGCTGTGAGCTGGGGATTCATTTGGAAGCCACTGGGCCAGGGACAGGAAAAAACCAATTTCGTTGGATGAAGCGTCCTCCATCTCTTGTTTATGCACTGCAGGAACTCAGCGTTAGGGAGGAGATAGAAATAAGCCAAAACAGCTGGCTGCACTTTCTCCCTTTGTGCTCAGCATCGTTAATTGGGTGGATTCATATGCATCATATTCAGCGATGCAGGTGATGGAAGCATACCGAAGCGTATGTTGGGAGCCCCAAGTTCTCTGCTTGCTTCTGCAGGTCTCTCTGGACCTGCCTTTCCCTCCCCGGCTCGCTCACCTGCCAGTAATTCATAGGATAGGCCTTGTCTCTAAAAATACCGCCATTCTCACTGGGATCCTACAGCCTTTGACATCTCTTAGGTACAATTAATGGTAGTTCTGTCTCTGAGGAACTTCCCTGAAGGAAAGATTATAAGAGGCCCAACAGGACTTCATCGTCCTCATTTCTCCTCTTCAGCTTACAGCTAGGTTTCCCCTCCCGACATCTGTTCTTAATTCACCACTGATATTAAATAAATGCATTGACAAAAATTATGTCTAAATTAGGACTGAAATTGTAAGAGCAGCCATTAAGAGCCGGAGTCAGACAATTAACGCTGACCCCCTGCGCACGGTGCGTGCGGTGGCAGGCCGAGGCGCACCTGGGATGCTGCCGGGCACGACCTCGCTCTCCCTCGAGCATCACTTCTCACGCTGAGTGTTTTCCTATTCCTGGCCAGCAAGAGGGGAGGGCTGCGGGCCCAGGGCTCTCAGCAGAGAGCTCAGTCGCCTGCTAAAGCAGCAGCCCCTCTGTCTCCAAGCCACGGGCTGCAAGACAGACTAGCTGCCTTGGCTGTGCCTGGGCTTGTTGGCCCCCAGTGCTCCGGGATGTCTGTGCCCAAGGATGCCCGGGTGCTGGCTCCGCTGCAGGGGAAGATGCAGAAAGATGCAGGAGCGAGGCCAGCACGCAGCAGACCATGCTGGGACAGGGTGCTGGAGCACGGCACAGCAGCCGAGCAAGCAAACAGGGAGAGGAGCAGAGACGGGACCTGAAGCAGGGCGGTGGGAGCAGAAGAGCAGAAAAGTGCTGCAGCCCCAGCGCTGGCAGCGGTGGTGGCAAAAGAGACTGAGGGATGAAAGTGTCGATGCTGCCAGACAGACACCCGAATAACAATTAAAAAAGTAAAATATGCACTATTTACCTGTCTCTCAGGCAACACACACATAATTAGTTTATGTAAATACCTTACTCAGATTAGCAAAATAAGCACAGAGGCAGCTTATTTTCTTGAATAAATATTTATCTTGGTGCTTATGCTGTTTGTGGGCTCTGCTGTGACTGGCCATTACACACAGCTTTCCTCTGGCGGAGGTTGGATGCTGCAGGATTTCCACAGTGACCGTGGCTGCACAAGAGCTGTTCTGACCCGCAGGCCACATTCCCATGATAACTGAGAACTTGAAGATAAGACCTAGCATTTTCTGATAAAAGCCAAATACCTCTGCAGAGAATACAATCCTCCATCCGCTGAACACCCAGTGAACTCCCATCAGTTCCACCCAAGTGAAAAAGCTGTAACACTGGGTGAAGAAGGAGATCCAAGCCCTTCAAGGTGTGTTAGAGAAGTGTCTGCATTTGGTGTGTAGCTGCCCTGGCAAAGTTCATCTTTTGGCCTCAGTTCAGCAGAACACTTAAGAACATACATAAGACTTGGAAGGCGTGCAAGCTCCAGTAAAACAGAAGCGTGTGCTTAAGTGGTTTTGCTGGATAAGGGCCTTTAAGCCACTGGCACTTGCTATAATTCCTCATTTTTAATAAAACCCATATAACTGTGCAACAGCATAAAAGTTGGGGCTGAGGGAAGGAAGCAGTCAGGGCCTGATAATTGACTTCCCGGTTTGTAATGTCAAAGCATGACAAATGAAAGCTTCGCCCTTGGTGGGTTTTGATTTAGATCCTCTCAGTCAGCAAACCCTTAATTAGAGGCCACCTTCAGAAAAATCTGCATTGATAAAAAGGATATGGAAGTGCAGCCCCGTACCGCCTTTAATAGCTCAGGACACCACACCAGATTGGGCTCCCTAATACGTGCTCCGTTCTGCCTGTGTGTGACATTTACTACCAAGGACACGGGGCTGTGATCAAATCACAGGAGCTGCCGAAATGACACTGTAAAATTTTATTTCTGCACTAAAAGCATTTTGATCCTTGGGCATCCATGCAGATTTCTCTCTCTTCATTTTCTGTGGTAAAGCATAAACTCCTAGCTGTTATTTAGCTTGCTATATCATTTTGACAAATTTGGCTTAGGATCTTTCAGACAGGCCGTTGCTAGCGGGCACTGACCACAGAACTGCTCATTTGTTCCCTCCTTCAGAAAAATCTGTAGCCAAATCCTTCAAGATCTCCTTTGGTTTTCCCGGCTGAGTCGGGACACCCACGCAGAAGTGACGGAGGGGCTGAAACGCTGCGTTTCTTTTGCCATTTCTGCCGCATGACTTTGATAAGCCAAAATTCTCAAGTGTGCGGTAGCAAGGGGAGAGCAGCCAAGCTGCAAACCTGCCGGGCAGCCTCCGCCAGGACGCTACCAAGGATGCAGACTCTGCTCCTGAGATGCAGAACTTCACCATTTCAAGCCAGCATTGCCTGCCCGCTTCCAAAAGTCCTTCAGTTCTCATCAATGTCACCACAGCCACAGCTGGCACAAAAGGGCTCACTGGGAACATATTGTTTCCATTTTCTCTAAGTTTTGACAAATGCCAGTGATTGAAATGGACACATTCTGTACCAAGCTGATTTAAAAATATATCTCCATTTGCAAAGTGACAAGGAAAGGGAACCAACCAGAGCTTGGCTAAAGAACCATGTTAGAAAAAAAATACATATTTTTGCCCTTGTTAGAGAATTCCTGAAACTCTTCTGTTCTGGACCTCTAAAGCTACGTTCTTTGGAGAGGAGACCCTTTCATACACACACACACACACACATATATATGTCTGTAATGGATAAAAGCTCATGTAGAAACTCTTCTTATAGAAAAAGGCCCAGATTCCTCTATTTAAAAATATTCCACTGACTTTCGTCACAGATTTGCAAGGTCAACAGGATCCTTAGTCTGACCTTCCTCCACAACACAGGCCAGAGACCTTCACCAATTTCTACAGTGAACCCATAGTTTCTGTTGGAGTAAAGCGTGTTCTAGCAAGACAGCTAATATTGATTTAAAGTTTGCAAGTAATGACAAATCCACTATATCTCTAGGTAATTATCACTCATGGTTAATTTAGAATTTTAATTTTCAGAACCAGATGCTAAATAAATCTTGCACGGGTATGCTAGGCACCTGGCACGGGGGGAGGTACTGCTCAACTTCAGAAACGTAATTTATGTGCCTGCGGTTCCTCTGAAGTCAATGATACCAAAAGAGCGATTTGCAAGCCCCAAGCAAGGCAGCTGACATTGAGGTAGTCTTGGATGTATTTACTTAAGGTTTTTTTAAGAACCTGAACGAATGTTTAGTGAGAGGAAGCGAACGCAGCTCTTAAGCAACAGAAAGAGGCTGTACGTGGTTGCTCGCTGAATCTAGCATAGAAATTATTAAATAACAAATAATAGAAAGAAACACAATTCATACAAGAAGTCAGGATGAATAACCTGCTCAGCTTCAACTCCTCGTGCAGCTCAGACAGTTCCAGCATGTTGAGCTGTAAAGTCCACCACTAATTAGCAGAAGCATTTCCCCGGTGGGGCTTACAGCCGTATGCACAGAAGAAAGACCTGACGGGAACCGCGTGAGGTTTTGCTCACTGCCACCAGCCAGGCACGCTTGCGAGCATTCCCAAGCAGCAGTGCTCCTACCCTACGCCACGGCTTCCTTAGAACGAGCCTTTCAAGTCGCACCATGAAGTCAACTGAGGGGAAAGAAATTGAACCTTTTACCTCATGCTGCTACAATATTACTGCCTGCAACTCATTCTGGAGTGGCCTCCCTCTGCGACTTTCTCCTCTCGCAGCAACATTGAAAAGAAGGCCAACAAAAACAAATCATCTCTGCAAACAGTGGGATTTGCACACAGCAAACTCTCTGTTGTAAAGAGTTCTGCCGCAAGAAGCAAGCACAGTGAGGATCGCAGATGTTTTATACCGTTTTAAGATATAATTATTCTGACCGTCTTAGAAGACCCTCTCAAAAGGAGCTCATGGGCAAAAGCTGCGGAGACTGTAACGCTTCCCTGTTGTCTGCGCTGCATTTCAGTAGCTAACAACAGCCAAAAATCTATGCAATGGAAGTCATAGAGTATAACTAGCAAACAGTAGACCACATTTTGCTCTCCAGCTCGCTGATTTACATCAGGAACAACCCTCTTAAAGATGGTAAACGCATCCACACCACCACCTCCAGAATCTCGCCCAGCGTGTTCTGGAGACCCTGCATCTCTGTTGGGGCTTTGCTCAGGTGATAAGAAGTATTTGTAATAACTGGACCATATTATATCAGTTCCACGTTCCGCCTGTCCCATCTCAGGTGTTCCTGTGCCTAATGCACGCAGACCAGTCCTTGGTCCCTTACCTGGAGGGCTTTGGAGCAGAGCTCACGGAGGGCTGCCCAAACACCATTTGTGTGCAACGCAGCGCAGCGCTGATGACAGCTTTGTGTCTGCCTGTACAGCAGGATCGCGGGTCTCAGGGGAAGCAGGTACACGGGGTCCATCCTGTGCCAGGCACAGAGGGCCCTGCCGGCACCGGGAAGTGGGGCTGGCGGTCCGGGCTGGCTCTGGCAGAGGCACAGGGCAGACTTACCCCATATGCACAGGGAGGGGGGAACCCCAGGGCTGTGCTTTGGGGTTTTTTTTGGCCCACTACTGCCGTACGATTGCTATAGGTGTTTCTAAGGGGATGGAAACGTCTCGGTTTCTAATGCCTTCTTTCTCCCTCCATGTTGCGCACAGAAAGCGGATTTGGCCGTTGCTCCTCTGACCATCACCCACGTTCGGGAGAAAGCGATAGACTTCTCCAAGCCCTTTATGACCCTGGGGGTCAGCATCTTGTACCGGAAGCCCAACGGGACCAACCCCAGCGTGTTCTCCTTCCTCAACCCCCTGTCTCCTGACATTTGGATGTACATCCTCCTCGCCTACTTGGGGGTCAGCTGCGTGCTGTTTGTCATAGCCAGGTAAGGGGACGCCGGTGCCACCCCACCCGACTGCCATCACGCCATCCTGCGACAAGACACCCTCCCCGCACTCAGATCTGTTTTGCTGCCTGATGTGTCGCAGGGATCCAACCACCCAGTGGGAGCTGCAGCATTAACCCCCTGTCATTAATGAAACTACTTTTGGTCCGTTACCCAAAGGCAGGCTAGTCTCTTGGCATGGGGTTGCTCACGACTGCCAGACTCCCGTGCTCTGTTCCCTTTCGGACCTGTATCTCAGAGTGGTTGTAGAGGTGACACAAACCCCGTGGTGAAAATTAAAGATGAGCTATCCACAGGGGAAATTTGTTTCCTTCTTCGCTAGCTCCAGCCTGCGTTATATCCTTTGTACAGCTTTACCATACTAAATATGCTTGTGTTTGTTTGCTTTATTAACATAAACCTGTAAGCCTCTTTTGCTGTATCAGGGCAGGCAGTTCCACGGATTTAGCATACTTCCAGTACAAAAGGATTCTAAAATGCACTTTCTTTTATTATTTTAGAAATTGTGTTGCCTTTCCATTTCATTAGCACCTCCCTGGTATAATGAAAGGTAATTTTCCTGCTCTGTATCGTTTACCGTTCCATGCTCCCGTTGGGTCTCTTCTCACCCACCTTCTCCAGGGAGAAGCCCAGCCTCTCCGCTGTGTCCTGGACGCAGAGCTCCCGTGTCCCGCTCCATTTTCAGCTCCTGTCTCTGAACCCTCCACCAGCAAAGCTCCCACAAACCCTTCCGTATATCAGAAGAATACAGAACCCGTTGCTACAGATCAGACAATGTGTCTGTTTACAAAATTAATATGCATCTAATTAGCATGTTTAAAACCTCTATATTTAAAAGCAGCAGAATTTGCATATATTTGCATGTGTTATTAATTTCACAGAGTCTTTGATGAGACACACAGTCCAGGGCTGCTCTCAATACGTGATTCCACCTTTTCAAACCAAAACAAAGCACTCGCCTCCCTCCTGCCGGGCAGCCGCCCTCCCAGCCACGCGCAGCCCTCGCTGGATGCTTAAATATTTTGCGTAAACGCCATGCCCGGGGAAGTTTCCTAAGCACAATCTGCAGCCAGACACTCATTTCTCCTTTCTTCCAGTTCAAGTTATGCCAGTGGTGCTTTCGGAAACCTCCCTGCTGACCCCACGCCTCGGTCCGGGGCTATGTGTAGGCCCTCTCCCTCCAAGGGCTGCTGTGCTATGTTTTCCTCCAAGCATCCTTCAGAAACCAGCTTCTATCCAATCCACTGACATCAATCAGATAGTCAAAGTAAAGATTAAATACGAAACTGCAGCAACCGGAATCCATTAACACTCGTGTTACAACATATCTGCAATTTTCAACATCCCTCAGGTCCACGGAGGCATTTAGAGATGATTTCCTGAGTTTACTGTGTAATATCCTAATTACACATAACAGCAGTTGTCAAAGTAAACTCGGCTTAGCAGACAGTACTAGTGCTCCAAACCATCTGGGATGGCGAAGCAGCTACATCGCCTGATCCCTCCTCTGCAGAGATGCAGAGCCGGAGAGATTGCAGTCCACTCTTAGAGGACACACAAGGCCTTCCATGTTCAAGATTTTAACTGCACTCGTTCTCCTCCCTAGCCTTTGCAATGCACCTCTATCAAACAGAGACACACCAGGTTTCCAGGCACTTTCCTGAGGTCCCACAGAAGCTGTCTGAGCACGGATGGCTTTGCAGGCTGTTTGCACAGTGCCTGCTGGGAGCACAGGCCTGGGCTCTCAGCATTGCAGTACCAACAGCAACGCATAAAAACAGCCAAACAGATCATTTCAGCAAGCAGGTGGTGTAACGCACAGGAACGGTAGGACTTGGTGTTACTGTATGGGAGCCCTCATCGCTCTCTGCAACTGCCTGAAAGGAGGCTGGAGCCGGGGGGGTCGGTCTCTTCTCCCCAGGAACAAGCGATGGGACGAGGGGAAACGGCCTCAAGCTGCGCCAGGGCAGGTTTGGGTTGGATATTAGGACAAACTTCTTCACCCAAAGGGCTGTCAGGCCCGGGCCCAGGCTGCCCAGGGCGGGGGTTGAGTCCCCATCCCTGGGGGTATTTAAAAGCCAGGGAGATGTGGTGCTTAGGGACATGGGTTAGTGGTGGCCTTGGCGGTGCTGGGTTAACGGTTGGACTCGATGATCTTAAAGGTCTCTTCCAACCTAAACGATCCTGTGATTCTATGCTAGAAGAGGCTGAGCATTGCACTACCCTTAACACATCGCTCCACCTTCCCGCCAGCTCTGCCCTGCAGACCCCCTGCGGCAGGCAGGCAGCACTGCTGGGCAAGTGGCCGGGGGCCACACAAAATGCAGGACCGTTCGGCAAAACACTGCTGCCAGCTTTGTCCTGCCCCAGCTGGAGCCCCTGGGAGGACTGTCGGGGACTCCAGTGGGGCAGGATGAGGTCCTCAGCGGTTTTGCTTTGTGTCAGAGAGGAACCAGACGCTCTCAGCAGGACA